GTCGTATTCGTTGTCGTATCGGCGTTTAAAAAGAGATGGGTGTTTGGTTGGACATGGTGTGAGATATCATCAATGTGTAGCGTCCTTCTCTGTGGGGCATCAATCCTTCATTTGTGTGCTATCAGTATTGAAAGACTAATCGCAATCAAATGGCCACTGTCCTACAACTGCAAAGTAACGAGAAAACGCGTACTGGTTGCATTGACCTACATATGGCTGCAGTCGTCGTTACTTTCGCTCATACCATTACTGCCCGTGAACTACGCAAAACATCGCTTTAACGCTCAAATGGCCGAGTGTGAAATAAACTGGATACAAGATCCCGAGCTTACTGTATTTTTATCCATTTTTTACTTTTTCGTCCCAGTGAATATCCTTCTTATTGCCTACGCAAAGATTTTTAAAGAAGTTCGTCGAAACATGAGGAGAGTGAACACATTACGGCTGGATGTGGAAAGCAAATCAGCTTTTTCCAGGTTCAAAAAAGAGATAAAAGCCGTCAAGACTTTAGCTGTTGTAATAGGTGTGTTTTTTGTGATGTGGCTACCGTTTTTCACAACAACTACGATTCGTGCTTTCAAAGGTGATGGGTTCATTCAAGGTTGGGCCCAACGACTTACGTTGACATTAGCTTATGCGAACTCGGGATGCAATTTTGTGATTTATGCTTTGATGAATACTAAATACAGAAAAGCATTTTCGCAAGTTTTGATGAACTTCTCCGAGAGAAGACTGTTAAATTCTTGCGATGTGACAATTCAAATGAAAACTTTAGCGAAAAGTTTGAAGTTGCCGCCTGTACTAGAACACAAAACTAACGAAGCTTTTACTAAAGACGAAAACCWCAATAATAACACTGATATTGAAAGATAGGTGAAACTGGCTGTGCAAAGACAGATATAAACTAATCYAATAACAAAAAGAATGGACAGAGAAAATAAACAAACAACCAAACAGAGTGGACAATTTGTGAAGTCGACTGACCACCTGCAAATAKTTTGCAGGAACTAGCTGAACCCGGTTGTTAAAAGATTCCAAAATTATTYAAACTGAAAGCCGCGAAAAAACAATACTAAGCTTGCTGGTTTTGAAATTTTATTCACTTTAAGTCCATTAATTTATATGCATTTTAGTGAGAGCACTTTTACTTTAGAGAGCACATTTATCATTTAAAAAAGCATAATTTACAGAAGTGCCATTGAATACTTTTCAATATTTTTAAAATTCCAAGTTATTTTTAGAGAATCTCTATTTGCAATAAATATTACGGGATAAATAATCATTTTATATTTTATAGACGTTAGAGTTAATTTCTTAAGAAATTGACTAAAAAATATGGTTAAAATTGAAGCTATTCACACCGTTTTCAGTGTCATGTACAATAATGTACTTATTACAATATTTTATAATGAGTATTATTACCGACTTCTAATAAATTCCTTCCTAGTATCTATCAATTGTATTTTAAAAGCTTATTTACCATGTCATAAATTCTTTTCATAAATTTTCTATAACCTTTTCTKGTAAGATGTACATAATCGTACATGTCGGTATGATCGATGATACCGTCTGCCCTGACAAAACCCGGGTCCGCGTCCAGGAAGTGAGTGCTTGGTATTCCCGCCACTACATCTCGAAGGGAGTGATTGATTTGAAAGTGTTTCTCGCGAAGTGCGTTAGCTTTCTCGCCTCGAGGCAACAAGCCCTGAATATGTTGAAATTCAGCTTTAGTGTCGAAAAAGGATTGTTTTTCTAAAGGTGTGTCAA